TCCTCGAGGGTTGCCATCATCTGATGGCCCCGTTGCAGTAGTCGGTTTTTTCCTTTTCTTGGACTTGTTCAGGTGGCCGATCTCGGTACATGCTGCACGCATATGCTTGTATACAATAGCTTGTGCTGGATCAGAACCACTCGCAAACTTTGCTAGTTTCCAAAAATCGTATATCATGTTCCTCTCCCTTATCTGCTTCTTTGATTGAGGAGGCATTTCATCCGGTTTCTCATAACCAGTCCCTGGCGCACTAGGTACAGCAGTAGGTGTCCACCGTCTTAGCAGGTACCTTTCCGGTATGACATCAACGCCAACATGGGTGAACACCTTGAGGATGTGGCAACAGAGGATGCCATCCTTGTCCATTTTACAACACTCACACAAATAGGAACGCTCCTCCACCCTTGCCTGCACCAAGTAGTTTCGAGAACCATATTTTGCAACAAATTCCTGGTTCGGTCTGAGCTCAAACACATCAGCACCAACTTGAAATGCATTATAACGTCCAATCAGCTCAAACTCTTCTCTAAACTTGCGGCAAAGGTCTCTAGTATAGGTTTTGTAAGCTTGCTTCTCTATTGGGAAGTTGGACCACAACTCAATCTCAAGGTGTTGTGTCCTGTAATCATTGCAGCCTTCCTTGGCAAGGATGTGGTTCTGTATTTTTTCATATTGCTTGACGAAGTTCAACATTGAGTTGTGTGGGTTCACATATCTTTTGAGGACGGCGTTGAACCCCTCACTACGCTGTGTAGACTGGAGGAAGGGAAAGAACATGTGTTTGAAGTAGCACGGCACCCAAGTTGACCTGTATTCATACAACTTCTCAAAGTGCGTGTGTGCCATAGCCTCATACTTCATCATTAACCCAGCCCAATTCTGCTCAAACTCGTCTATAGTGAAGCTGAAGTCAACACACTTGTTGAAATCATCAGAGAGTCCTGGATTCCGGCACAGCAACCAACCAACCTTTTCCTGAGCCTTTTTCATGATGTGCCATCGACAACAACGGTGCACGGTGGTTGGAAAGATGCTCTGTATTGACTGCCTCATCGCACCATCCTGATCGGTGATGAAGTTGTCAGGAGGTTTTCCATCCATAGCCTCTAGGAATGCTCCAAAGACCCAATCAAAGCTCGATGCCAACTCCTGCCTCACAAACGCGCAACCCAGCATGAAAGATTGGCCATGTCGGTTTATTCCTATGAAGGGCGCGAACGGCATATTGTACAAGTTGGTCATGTAGGTGGTGTCAAACGATATGCAATCGTGGTACGCCTCCGCATAAGCTTTTCGAGCTAAGCCGTCCACCCAAAATATGTTGACAACTCTGTCCTCTTCATCATATTTCACCTTATAGAAGAAGTCTGGATCGGTTTTTTGTATATCCTTGAAGTGCGCAATTGTCTCAATCAGATCACCCTCCTTTGTGTCATCTCTACGGAAACTTGTACAAAGATTTGTTATTGCCTTTGGTCCAAACGACACCATCATCTCAGATCCATAGAACTCTGCCATTACATGCATCATTCGTCCTGCATAATACAAAAACAAACAGTATATCCTTTTTTTAGTTGCACAAATGCGCACATCCAGCTGCACAGTAATAGGACACGTGTTGGCACAAAAGATAATCACAGGAAATGGACACGTAGCTGCACCTTTTTAAAAACACTTTGCAGTTTTTGCATACATGACATTGTGTATTTGCACAGTAAAGACAATCTAGTTGCACAAGAAGCACCCAAAGTGATATATAAAAAGCATGGGAAGTTGGACAGCAGTTGCATAGTTAAGCCATTTCAGTTGCACAGTAGTACCATAACAGTTGCACACTGGACTGCCTAGAGGGAAACTTAATTCTTCAAGGGATATAGAAAAACACCACACCTGTAGTCAAGTTGCAGTTATACAAGATGCGCAGAAACTCTTTTTCATCAGGTGAGATGCCTTGGTGGGATCTCAAGTATTTGGACAATGAAAGTTTGTTCACGAGCGGATGATTGTGGTCACGAACAAAGTGCGTCACCTCCCATCGCCCACCTATCAGCTTCACCAACATTTTCGCCTTGCATTCAGTCTGCTTTATTGTCTCACGTTTGCGCTTCTTCTTCTTCTTACTAGTACCAGCATCCTCTTCAGCAAATATTGGAGGTTCTTCTTCCATCTCCTCATCACTGTTAACAGATGTTGGATCTGGAATAGGGTCCAGGTAAGGAGGAGCCTCAGCTCCTCCATCATCAGCTTTGGGCTTCTTGAACTTGTTGCAGCAAAACTGTTGTTTTATCAATTCATTGGTGCGGGGTGTCCGTCTAGAGGTGTTCATCTTGATAGAGAAACCCATCCGTAGTGCGTAACTGTTGTAGTGATCCTTAGCAATTTGAAGGCTGTCAAACCTCATGCCAACATAGGGTTCCATAGGTTGAGAACCAGCCTCATCCTCTCCTTCTTCTACTTGCACAGCTCTGTCAAAAGCCCCAGCTTCTAGCTCAGTCCTGGTTGGACTAGGAACATTTGCCTCGGTTCCTGTGTCATCAAGAGTATGACTCTCTGACTGCAAAGACACCACTACAGGGGCACCACGGGCTGATGACTGGCCTGCCACATTGTCATGGCCCGTAGGGTTACCATCACGACTTGCCTGCGTGTAGTAAACAGATCGACCATTTTCTGTGCAGTTTCCTTGTTGTATGCTGGGTTGTTGCTGATCCATATCATGAGAAAGCTCATTGAGATCTGGAGGCAACTCATTGAGATCAAGCATTTTTTCCCTTGTTTTTGGATGCTGCCACACACTCCTTGCACATATAAAAAAAGAAGAAATTGATGTCATCAGTTGGTAACCACAGAAAAACTATGTTTCAAAACAACCTAAAAGCAACATGACCATAGCATAATCTTTTATTATAACAGTTATGATTTTTTTTGTTTGCACAGAGTTGTTATGTTAGTTGCACAGTTGCAGTAAATAACTGGCAAGAGCATGACTTCTTTTTGCTACAGAGTTTTTCTTATCTTTTCCCTTTTTGTTTTGTTGCAATGATCTGTAGGTTTCCGTTTCGTAAGGAGCTCTTTTCAGATTTTTCTGCACATAATTGGATGCTACATTTGAGAAGGAAAATCCAGGTGAAAGAAGAAAGAAGAAAGAAGAATTAGAGGACAGATTATAGTTATATGTTTTTCATCGCCGTTTATGTTTCTAGATCTGGTATATTTGAACATATTAATATGGTTTGCAATAGGTGTGGGACCAGAATATATGCGTGGGACAAGATTTGTGTGTGAATATGTTAATATGGTTTGTGGCTTCATTAGCCATGGACAAAAGTTCCTATGTTTTTCCTGTTGCACTACAGATTTCTGGTTTTCGCTAGAATAGACGTCTCAATTTCCAGGATTTCCACTTGGCCAGCATACATATTCAGTTGGACATTCAATGCTTTTAGTTGGCTAGAATAGATGTCTCAGCTGGCCAGATTGCATTTTTTCAGTTTTGTGGCCAACATGCATGTTCAGTTGGACAGTTAATGCATTCAGTTGGCTAGAATAGATGTCTTAGTTGCCTAGAATAGATGTCTTAGTTGGTCATCAGTTTTTGGCCAACATGCATGTTTAGTTGGCCAGAAAACATGTTTTTTATTTTCACATATACTACATTTTTTTCAAAGTGTTCACTCAGAAACATGTATTGCCAGATATATGTTTAGTTGGCAGGATACATGTTTAGTTGGCCAGGATACATGTTCAGTTGGCTGGGATGCATGTTTAGTTGCACATTTATGAATTTTTCGTTGCACATGTTCAACAAAGCATTGGGCAGTCAATTTTTTGTTCATTTTGCAAATAATAACTAGAAGTTGGCTTTAATCATGTTTTAATTGGCCAGATAACTCGTTTTTAGTTGGCTTGTTTTAACACATCCAGGTGGTAGTTTTTGGCATGTTTAACACATCCAGCATGTTTAACATCTGGTGTGATGTGCCAGATTCACCTCTTTTTTGAAGCAGATTCTCCATGGATCCATGGAGAAGGGGAAAGTGAAGAGGTGCAGAGGGGGCTTACCTGCTCGATCTTACTGTCTGGTATGGCTCTGACCACCCTGCCCTTTAGATCTTGAAGCAGCTCCTTCTACTTTGGGGCTCCCATGGCGGCTGTGTAGGAGGAGGAAGAAGGGCTGGGGGCGATTGCGTTTGGATCTGTTTCTGGCGTGCAGAAGAAGAAGAAGGCAGCGTCGGTGGGGCTGAGGCGTGGGGGCGAGAGATGGCGTGGATTCTGCAACCTGGGCAGATCCTCCTTCTTTCGTGAGGAAGAAGAAGATAGCCAGGGCGCAGTTTGGCGAGGAGGGTGCACGTGATCCCGCGGGGCATGGTTTGGCGGGGAGGGTGCACGTGATCCCGCGGCCAGCTGGTGGGCGGGGTAGTTGCCTTTTTCGCTCCGACGGGCAGGGACCACGTGGGCGAGTGGGCGAGTGGGGGACTGTTTCCTCTTTTCGCTCGAGTGGGGACCAGGTGGTTTTCTTTTTCGGGTGGCCGCTGGCTAGCGATCCCAGGGCGGCCGGCCGCCCACTAGACGCGTCCTTAAAAATATATATTTTGCCATGGATCACTATCTTACCTTTTTTTAAATAGAAAAATCACTATCTTACCAACCACTGTAATTGCCCTCAGTGCACTCTGGTCGGATAGCGGTCTGAAATGGGCCGCTGATATCAATCGACCATGGGATCCAACGGCCCAACTGCAGCCCTAAACCAAGTACATCGCCAACAGAACCCAACGCCTCTCCTCCTAGGGCTCCACCAGCCGCCGGCTGTCCCGAAGTGTTCCGCTCTGGCTCTGCTGCCGCCGACGGCCGGAGCAGTTCCCCAAGTCAGGATCCGACGACTCGGGGGAGCAGAAAGGAAGAAAATCCAACTGCGCGCACCCTGAACTGGGGGAGAGGACGAGGTGCCCTATGAGCGCGATTCACAATTGTCTGATGCGTGGAAGAATCAGCTTCAGATGGATCGAGGAGATGGCCTGAGCTGGGGTGGCACACAGCGCACGGGGAACAGGTACGCAACCCTAGCAACTCCTGGTAGCGAAGGTAGGAGGGCGGAGGTGCGTGGGGGAAGCTCGGCGGAAGCCGAGCGAACAGCAAAGGCGCAAATGCAGTCCAAGATCAAACGCAGAAACACACAAGGGATCACCTACTTCGGCCTCGTATGGAAGAAAAACAAGAGCGACACGAATGCTATCAACGCGGACGATGTTATCTTTGGAAGCAAGGATGGTGTTGGTTCGTCCATGAAACCAATCTGCTGTCTCTGTCGCAAGCGATATTCCCCAGACTTGATGTACATCCGGTGTGAGAGGTGCAGAAGTAAGTTGATTCCACCTTTGACCTGCCATTTTTTAAGCAAGCAATTTCTGTTTTGCGTTATCATACCGATCTTTTCCGCATCTTGATATTCTCCTGTATACAGATTGGTTCCATGGAGATGCCTTGAGACTTGAGGAGGCAAAGATTGCTGAAGTCATATCCTACAGATGCTGCAGATGTCGGAGGAGGGCAATACCGGGATGTCCTCATTCAGATGATTATTATTATAAGAGGCCTGAACCAGAACCTGTCATCCAAGAAAGTGCAGCTAATATTCCCTCAAGTGAGGAAGCTATTGGCGCAGCAGATGAAAATACATCAAGTGCTTCATTTGGTATATTCGAACAAACTGTAGAAGATATTCATGCTGATTCCTCAGTGCACATGGAAACCTTTGTGCTGGGAAGTAATCAAGAGATGAACTTTGTGGATGGTTCTTACAATTCCGCCCATCCATTCGATAAGGTAGAAATTAAGCAGGCTATGAAGGTAACACTTGTTCTACTCATAATCTAAAATTGACATGCTCAGTTTACCTAACTTAATTTTTTCCTCCATGGATTTCTGTAGGTTTTTTTTCAGAACGAAAATCATTGTTTGTCAGTAGGTCACTTTTTTTTTTGCAAGTTTCAATAGCTCATTATTGTATGGTTTCAATTGAACATAAGAAATATTTGTAGTTTTTTTGTTGCCGATTGACAATTCTTGGTCTGCATATCCTATGTCCTATTACTTCGATGTATGCCATAATTTTAAGATTTAAGTGCAACAGTAATGAAAGGTGCTTGCAGTTCTTTAGTGCATATGGCTCTAGCCCCAATATGATCATGTGTGCGTATGCGAGCAGAGTCGTTAGTATAAACTGGAAATATCTAGTGCTCTAAAAGCATTTAGCCAAGTTGGAAATCACAATGTGTGTATATTCATTTATAATGTGTGTCTACTGTCTAAATTGAAATTTGAGTGCAGTTTACTGTAAAAGTGATATTTTATAACAAACACTGGACAAGAGTTCAGTTGCAGTCCTTGATATTTTATTTTTGAAAAATCTTGGTTTATCAATTATTCAGGACGCTCGGCCATATGATGCATGCTTTGCATGGTATGCTCCTGGTAGTGGTACATGCCAGCAATTGGACCCTATGGATCCTGTGGATGATGCCCCCCTGCCAGTTCCCACAGTGGAGACCAACTTTGAGAAAGACCAAACTGCCGCACTTCACAGAGCTGTATGTGTTAGAGTCTTGTCTGCATAATTCATTCATATTGCCTTGTGATGTTTTTATCGTAAATGCACTTCTTGCAGTATGGTGGTTTTCGGGTTGTTGCTGCGGAGACTGGCTCATTATATGAGCGGATTAGACAGGGGGATTATCTCACTAATGATGAGATCATGGGGACCTTGGACAAGCTTCAGAAAATTGCTCTACACCAAATGAAGGATATTGCCAGCCATGGCGTAGTCTACTCCGAGGTCCCGACACAACCAATGCACAACGCAAGCACCTCCACCACCCGGCCATCTGATCACCAGAGTAGCCTCTAAGACTCCAGCACCAAATGTGATTGCTACAGCATCGTAATGAACTATGCTATCAAGTGAGTAAGCTTTTCTATGGTTGCCGAGAATACATGTTCAATTAATAAGTAATCCGTATCATTGAAGTAATTCCAGAACTCTAGAAACCGTGAAGAATTTATTCCATTTTTCTATTTGGATTTTAGCGAACAGGCTTTTAAATGAGATTAGTTAAGTTGGTTTGCCTTAGTTGTCTGCTATAAGATAGCTAGTTGGAGTCAGATTTCTCCTCCTGGTAGAAAGAGTTACAATGCAGTTTTTGTTAAATAAATTATTAAAATAAGTGCAGCAGCCGGTTTCACAGCAGTTGGAGCCTACTTTATCAGATCAAGTTCAAGTGCTGAACCATGAACAAATTGGTGATTTACTGCAGCCCTGTAGCCAGTTCCACTGCAGTTGGAACCTACCATATCACATCAAGTTGATTCCATCGCCTTGCCGACATGAGCAAAGCTAATAGTCCACTACTAAATTGGGGCCAACTGCAGCGTGCAGGAGGTTGTTGTGAGGGAGACGGGGGTTATAGGCTGTGTAATTGCATTGGGATCTACTAGTCTAGGGTTCATTGTTTGTTGTTTTAGGTGTATACTGCAGTCTATATGCCCTATCGGTGCAGACTGTCCATGCCAGGGGGGCCTCCCCCAACCTTTTTTAAGGAAAACTTCAAGCAAAGCCCTGTCAGTATTTTTAATTCAAACACGCATCTAATTGCGTGTTGTTTTGTGTTAAAGAAAACACCAAGAAGGCGCAAATTGCCTGCGCCCACAAACAAAAATATTGTACAAAAAGTACCAGCCTGTCTAAGAGGATCTCCAACCACAAATAGCTAATTTGGCCCCCTATATGTCCGCGGACAGCATGGGCTCACCCCTCATTTGTCCGTGTCCGCAACAGCGCTCCCCATTTCCCAACCCTCAAATACATACACAAGCATGCAACGTCGATCAATACACGTACTTCGATTCCATAGCACATAGTTCATACATAGTCTGGAGCACAGGCGGAGCTCTTGGTAGGGCGAGGTGAGGCGCTCGCCCTACCTTGATTTCCAGTGATTTGGGTTTTATGTATGCAGATCGATCGCTAAAAAAATCATGGGAGAAGAAAACCAGTGTTCTATTGGGCCGTGAGCACTGACCCACCTTATTGGGCCTTATTTAAGTCACGCATCGAGCCACCCATCCATGGATGCTCCAGTCCACAACGCTCGATCAGGGCTAGTTCCTTGGTTTGTGACCCAGCGATAGTGAGTGCACAATCCTGTAGTTGCCTTTTGTTCTATGCCAACATTTAGTACTAGTGTATGTGCTTTTTTTTTGCGAGGGACTAGTGTATGTGCTAACAGGGGTTAGTACGGAATGGTGTGCATTTTTTCTTACGTCTGCAAAGTGTTTGCCTTTTCTTATATGCATAGAATAGATCTGTCCGAAATGTTTTTGGGCATAATATTGTAAAATTAGTGGCGATTTTACATTGTGCAATGCGACTTTCTGACTATTTAAGTATTTATTATTGATTGGTCACATTTCCGCGTGCATATGTATAGCTCTTCTACATGGAAAAACTATTTGTGTGCATTTTAGTGCGTATCGACTACTCTAGTTTTGCATCGATTTTTTTTGTGCTTTAGGGCCCGCCCCACCTAAAAAAATTCGTCCTCTGCCACTGATCTGGAGATAGCATAGGGAAGTTCATCATAATCCCTCCGTCCCAAATTACTTGTCGCAGAAATGGATGTATCTAGAACTAAAAATACGTCTAGATACATCCATTTCTATGACAAGTAATTCAGGACGGAGGGAGTACATGCCATCAGACTACCACAATAACGGCATGTTCTAATAGTTCATAACTATATATAGGCTAAAGCATAAAGTAAAGTAGGACTATAGATAGGGAAAGTTCACCGACGGCCACCGTTGCCCTTGTCGTCTTTGTCGTGGAAGTAGAGGTCGAAGGTGAATTAGGGCTAGCCACCGGTGCTGGAAGTGTTGGAGGCGGTACCAGACATATTCTTGTCCGATTTCGGGGGCCGGCCGGCGAGGGCACGAACGGCTTGGCTTTGCTCCTTTGCGAGGGCATGGGCGGCACAGTCTTGCTGCTTCGCGAGGATCTGGGCACGGGTTCCTCCGCGTCCTTGTTCTCTGCGGCACGGCGCGACTCCTCAATGCCCTCTCCACGAGGGTTTTGGCGTTGATCCGGTGGTGGTGGCGCGCTTCCGACTCTTTGGAGGCCAGGGACCGCTGCTTGACGGCACGGACGACCGGATCCTCCTTGGATCCGGAGGGCGCCGGTACCGCAGCGGACAAGCAGAGGCCACGGCGTGCCTTCGCCTTCTCACGGTGGGCACACTGTGTCTCGACCTCGGAGGAACCGCCGCAGCTATCGCGTCTGCGACCATGTGCATTGCTGTCGTTGGCCTCAGACTCCGAGGCCGACGTCGGCGCTGGGACAAGCGCCCTCGGCTGGGGTTGCAACGATAGAGCGGACACATGATGCTGCAAGCTTCTGCTGGATGCGGTACCGCCGCTGGATCCGCATCTGGGCAGCTGTGACGGTGGAGCTCGGGTCTCGACCCTGGACTGGCAGAGCGCGAACCGGACAGTTATCTCCTGCTTGTCCGAGTAGGCAGCGAGTTCCTAGTCGATGCCATCATCAGATCCGGACCTGGCGGACTCAGATCCGTTGCTCACCATGCCGGAGATGACTGGAGAGGAGCGAGGCTGAGCGGAAGCGGAGTGGTCTGTTCAAAATGGCTAGGGTTACGTCCAGGGTGGCTAAAGCGTGCTGATAATGTCAAGAGAGGTCGGGGTAGACCGAACTTGACATGGGAGGAGTCTGTAAAATCTGAAGGACTGGAGTATCAGCAGAAAACTAGCCATGGATAGGGGTGCGTGGAAGCTTGCTATCCATGTGCCAGAACCATGAGTTGGTTGCGAGATCTTATTGGTTTCACCCCTAGCCTATCCCAACTTGTTTGGGACTACAAGGCTTTGTTGTTGTTGTTGTGTTGCGTCCAGGGTGGGATTGGGATGGATTTTGTGCTGTCAGGAAGGGCCAGCCTGACTAGGCGGACGCGTCCGGGCGGCCCCACATATGAGCTGGGTTTGAGGGGCGCGGAACAGCGCGGACATTTGGCCTAGGTATTTGGGGGGGGGGGGCAGTTGGGTGCCCTTTTTTTGGTCTGTGCCGTGTCCGGGCTGTCCGCCCGGACATACGGGGGTGGAATAGGGGCTAACAAAACAGCAAAAGAAGAAGGCTAAACTACAGCAGCCTGTTGCTTACCGTCGTGGGAAGGGGTGCCAGGTCAGCTTCCTGCACTCCTGAAGCTTGTCATTTGCCGTATGAGTGAGCTGCTGCAGCCCATAGATCTCTGAATACTGCACCAGACTTGGCGCGCAAACGAGCACCCTGTGAGCAGAGGGGAAATGGTTTCAGGCTCCTGTTCACAGAGAGGGCATGCCCGCCAGGTGACCCACTCCAACATCTGTTCTTTGCTGCAAACCAACTGAAAATCTTGCATTTCAAAGAAGCCCAGCAATGCTAATTTTGCCGCCGGAGGGGAGCTTCAGTCCGCCCATCAAAGTCTGGTGCATTCCAGGCAGATTTGGCGGAGTATAACCCAGATTCAGTTCGGCATCAGATAAAGGTATCCTCAATCTTTGGAGCGAGTTGAACGCTCCCAACAAGCTCCCTAGGTGCAAGTACTCCATAATTCCTCGTGTCACAAACCCAGCGATCATCCGCTAGATCATCTGCAACTGGTCTGATGTGCACTCCGTGCTTGCTGACTGCTGCCACCACCTCCGGAGCTAAGTCAGCAATTGATTGACCGTTGATCAAACCATCTAACCAGAACTTGGTGCCTTTTGCAATTCCCTAGAATGTCCTTTGTTGTAGCATGAAACATCACTGTGGCGTTCCTGTTGCAGTTGAGTTTAAACTGAGCCCATGGGCCTGTCGAGGCTGGTGCGCCACAGCCATGGCCACCTTAGGCGCGGCGCCCACCTCATCTTTTGCAGGTTCTTCACCCCAATGCCCCTGTACTCAATCTGTTGGCACCATGCATGACACACAGGACTCTTGACTCCTTTTCGAAAAGAAGCTGCTCTTCTTTTTTATCTATCGCCTCACACGAACCATCTGGGCACATCCACTGCCAGGAGGTTATGAATTGGAGCAGCTGACGTGATTGTTCAACTAGCACCAGTTTCCCGCCCTTTATCATCACACCTAGCTGTCCATCAATCTTGTCCAGAATCGGTTGAAAGCCCTGATAGTCTTAAACCCAAATTCGCATCCGTATGGACTCGAACCCGGGTGGTGAGATCATACATCTGCTCTTGTGCACTTTTTTGAGAGAAAATCACATCTGGACTTGGGAAAGATGGGGGTAGAATGGTCTTTCTGTGCTCTTAACTGATGGATATGCTTATACAATCCCTAAAACAAAATCGGTTCTCACGGAAGAGTTGCAATGCAATAAATTCTGTTGGCATAATGAAGAATGAGGTTGCACTTAGTGGCGAAAACAAAACTGCATTTCATATTTTACTAATTTCTCTGTGCCGCTAAAAGGTTGCTGCTTATAAGATTTTATTATATGAGGAGCTTAGTGAACACAATATTTTATTCCAATCTCTTCGTACATTGTAATTATGAACAGAAGCAATGTTTCTCTTGGTTTGCATACATGGTTATTGATGCCTATACAATAGGAATGTGATAATTCAGAAAGGTTCACTGACAATCGATACTGAAAACCACAATGTAGTCCATAGAACATCAACACACCCTATTTTGTGGAGTAAATCTATGCTGCTTTACGTTCAAATATGTTTTTACCCTATCAACATGCCCTTTTTATATATTGGTTTTTGTCCGTGTTATCAGATTGCGTGTGATCAAGGCATTGTAATTTGGACTCCAGCAAGATTCACCTCAACAATATGATATTTTTTTCTCGA